CAGAAATATAACTCGGCTAATAACGAAGTCTGTAGTGTGCCACCTGCCGGCGAACGTTCGAGGTTCTTTCAAAGATTCGGCGGGCTATCCGTTTTGCATTGTTTTCGATGTTCTTCACGTGTCTATGTCATTTTCATGTTAGAATCGACATTTACTGTATTCTATGTTGTTTTCACAGATGTTCACTCTTTACTGGTGTTAGTAGCATCGTCGGTTGTGCTCTTGGCGTGTTTATACCTACTCGTTCGGGCGTTTAGAGGAAGACGTCAGTGTAGAGGAAAACAGCGAGAGTTACAGAGACCTTTCATCAAAGGGAAACGTGTTTCACTTTCGCCTCGAAAGAGCCCTCTTTTGCTTGGCTCTCTGGTGAGTTTTAAAGATAACAAGTCAAAGTTTTGACTTCAATGATGTCATTTGTATTTCGTTCGATTATTCAAGCGTGCGGGCACAGAGAACGTGTGTAAGCTTTCATTCTTACCGTCATGTATGCGGAAAGGCAATTTTGCGAGAAATCGAATTGTGTTGTCTAGATGCTACTCAAAAACCTTTCAAATTGTCCCCTGTTACAAGACGGAAAGCAAACAACCATGTTTGTGCCTGCCAAAGAAATCTAAATATTCATATTGTTCGTTTGTCAAGCGCAATATTTTTGTAGGAAAAACGGGATTAAGATGTCATTTAGATCTTATCACTTTTATATTTTAAGAAAACAGATATTTAGATCCTTTACTGTAAGCAATGTTTTCATTTATTATTAAGTTACGTAGTCTGTCAAACTGAAATAATTTAAAGAAGGATGTTCTTTCCATCCTGTGGTTTTGAATTTGCATTTAATTTATATTTATAGAATGGTCGAGAAACGTTCCATTTTCGAGATGAAATATTAACCACAAATCGCCTTGACTAGAGAGATATTAAGTACTGAGGTCGTTAACTTTTAATCCTGCTCTATTTTTTTTATTGTTATTATTTGGCTCATTTTTCTTTATTTTCCTCCGGATACAGCACAGTTTTCACTTTCTGTAAGTAAAAGAAAGGTTCTTTGTTTTGTTCAGCGTTTGGTTTTGATGCTACTCAGCACCATTTTATGCGGTCACCCACTGTTAAAATTATAAACACTTACTGTAAAAATTATAAAAGTTAACTCAACCGTTCATGTTGCTGTATATAAAGTTTCAAGTGTTTTCATTTCAAGACAGCGTGTTAAATTTTAAACAGCACAATTTGATTGTGGTTGAATTGTTCAAGTAAAATACCCAACAGATTATGGCTATTAATTCGGGAATAGGTAATTGCTGAAATATTGTTTACGTGGTTGCAATTATTGACACTTTTCCTTTTCTGTTAATCCCATACCATTTTTTTTAGTGATTGGAGGGTATGTCAGTAAAATCATGGGGAAAAAAGAACAAACAAACAAAGCATATATGATAAGTAGACTCCTTTGAGTACCAGTTGTATAATGTTTTCCTTCTCATGAAAGTAACCAAAGAAACAACAACCTGACATGTTAATGTTGAATTAATTATCTCCCTCATTACACAAGGCACTAAGCAAAAGGAATATTCATTTTTCGCTTGACTTGCATTATTTGTAATTCACTTGGTTTCGTTTTCGATACATGTTGTTGTGTTTCAAAAATTCATGAATATCTGAAAAACGACAAAATTAAAGAAATGATTTGAAAAAGAATGAAAATATTAGATAATCAACTTTATAAGAACATCATAAAACTGGAAAGCATAAATTTTATGAATAAATGACTTTTGGAATACAATGTATCCTGAGGTTTCTCTTATAAGAAACAAAGCTGGGCTACTAAAGAATCGTAACTGGAAGGCTGTCAAATTAATTTTTTTTGTTTACCTGTTCTCCCTGCTAACTCAAGCCTGTTTTACCGGTAACTCAATTTTCAGCTTATTTCACTCACTGACCTAAACCCCTGCTATTAGTCAAACTGTTTATTGTTTTCAAAACTGCTACTTGTACGTGTAGTACTTGAAGTTTCCTTTCTATCACATGCTTCTCCCATTTCAGTATTTTTCATTACATTTAACTTCCATACTGTGTATGCATCTATGACATGGATGTTGATACAGGTCAAAATAAAATACTACATACTAGCTACAGCTACAATGTCGGTTGATTCTCTATTTCTTTTGTCTCCTTGCCCTAATTGTAATTCATGAATTAAGAGACAAAGGAAATAGAGAATCAACATACATGTAGCCTGGTTGAAAAATTTTAACCTGAATAATATTTTTGACTTTGATCAGACACTTAAGTGGTTGTATTTTGTAGAGGGTTGATTGTATACTGTCTCTATATGCAGCTGTGGCCATCTTTGTCCATGGATACTACTGTCAATTGTCATGTCTAAACAAAAGCCTTGTAGTGGGGCATAACAGGGTGCTATCTTAATGTGTCCTGTTTTGCTATGCTAATTTTACACTAGAGTTCAAATGACCAAAAGTCTGATAGACTCTAATGCTTGGATATACACTGTATTTGAGAAGATGTTGTGAGAAAGCTTAAACTTACACATAAATCTGTTTGAATATTTAGGTGGCATAAAATCTGAGCCTTGGGTGAAACTTAAAATACGCTGTGATGTTCCAAAATGTTCAAAGTACATCAGGACAGTGTAGTTAAAAAAAGCTGCTCTGTATTTACCTATGAGCATCACATGGTTGTTTGTACATTCTGGATGATTGGTGGGCCATAAATAAACAGCGTATCAATTGAGAAGAATGCTTTGACAAAAATGCAGGAAAAATGTACAGTTCATCACTTAC